AAAGAATGGAGGTTTGAGTCAGGAATGGTGGCACCCACCTCTATTCCCAGCAACTCGGGAGGCTGAGGCAGGAGGATCACAAGTCAAGACCAGCTTTGGCAATTTGGCAAGACCATGTTCTCATAATAAAATGAAAAGGGGGCTGGGATTATGGCTCAGTGGTAGAGTGCTTGCCTAGCACAAGCGAGGCCCTGGGTTCAATCCTCGGCACCACATAAAAATAAATAAAAAATAAAGATATTGTGTCCAACTACAACTAAAAAATAAATATTTAAATAAAAATAAAGTAAAAAATAAATAAAATAAAATGAAAAGGGCCAGATGTGGTGGTGTTCCACTGTAGTCTCAGTGACTGAGGATGCTTGAGGCAGAGGAGTACAAGTTTGAGGTTAGCCTTAGCAACTTAAGTAAGATCCTGTCTCAAAAAATAAAATGGGCTTAGGGATGTGTGGTTCAGTGGTTAAGCACCTCTGGGTTCAATCCCTGGGACCAAAAATAAATGAAGGTAGAACAGCCCTGTGTTTAACCTTCAAGCATAACAAAACAAAACAAACAAAAAGGTCACCATGGTGAACTAGAGGTATTCAACATGGAGGAAACTAAAAAAATGTGAAGAAAGTTGGCATCAGATCCCAAGAATGGGCTTGGAGTTAAAGCCAGTGTTTTCAAAGAGTTTTGAAAAGTAAAACAGATTTGAAGTCAACATATGACACTTCTCCTAAGGCATACCATGGCCTCTTAAAATGTGCCTCTTGGTATTCCACCCAGACCAAAGAAAGGACTTCTATGCCTTTCTAGGCCTACTCAAACTTGACTGTATAATTGCCTTCCAAATAAACAGCCCCAAACAGTTCAGCCTCAAAATGGGAGCATTTTAAATGCAGGCCAAAGTCATTGGGAAATAGGCCTCCCACCCAATATACAATAGAACCACTGTCATCAGCCTTGCCTAGTGAACCATTTTCTGCAGCATAAGCAACTAAAGCTGCACACCAATTTATACCTCAGTGATGTTGCTGCACAAATAAGGAAGTGTATAATGCTACCTTTGCCTCTTTAATTGGAGAACAGGCCAGGCCAGATGGTTGTGGGGTGGAACCTTACAAAAATGCCGGATGACCAGAATGAGATTTTATGCTCTATCAGCTCAGGCTCTAATTTTGACTTCAAGAAGCTTATGGGACAGGATTAAAGCACTGGTGCTGTCTTGTCTTCAGCTAAAGATAAGTGTGATCACTGGATGAGTTCTTTATTTTTATTTTTTTTTTACAAAGCTATGGACAATTTCTAGAGCTTCTATATAAAATATTTATGAAAGTGTGGTAGATTAGAGTGCTTAGAAATACCTATCCTTCAATAAAAGGAACAGGTATATTTGTTAAGCTGCAGAAAATTCTTGAAATCTTTTTCAACTAAAAGGCCAGAAAGGTGGCAAAAAAGCATATGTGTGTTTGTGTGTGTGGGGATAAATTTTTAATAGCAAAATCTCCACTTCTGTCAGTGTATTAAAGTTACAAATGCAATTTCTGTGTAGTTTCACCAAGAATTTTATCCTCCTTTTGGTGGTGCAAGCCTGTAATCTCAGGGACTCTGGAGGCTGAGGCAGGACTGCAAGTTGAAAGTCAGCCTCAGCAACTCAGTGAGACACTGTCTTAAAATAAAAATAAAACATTAAAAAGGGGTGGGGTATACGGCTTAGTGGTTAAGGGTCCCTAAGTTCAATTTCTCCTACAAAACACAGACACACACACACACACACCAATCTCATCCTCCTGAATTTGCTTACTTTCAGCCACAAGGTTAAACCTGGATTCGGATCCCTTTGCTGACTTGTGTTTTAAACAGTAAGTTTAAAACAAAGATGTGGGGAGACGCTGAAGGAGGTAAAGATGTGGGGAGATGCTGAAGGAGGCCTCGGTCTATACAGATTTCAAAGAAGACTAGTGAACAGAAACCCCGATCCCCTTATTGTGGATGGAACCCAGGGCCTCGCACATGCTAGGCAAGCACTCTACCATTGAGATACACCCTAGGCCCTTTTAATTTTACTCTGCAACACGGTCTTGCTAAATTGCCCAGGCTGGACTCAAATCTGCAGACCTTCCGGCTTTGGCAAGGATTACAGGCAAGAGACAAGCTCTTTTTGTTGTTGTTGTTCTTAGTTATACATGATAGGGAATATTTTGAAATATCTATACAAACATGGAGTATATCTTATTCTAATAAGAAAGAGAAGCAAGTTTTTAACAAAAAAACAGTTGTGTTTTTAAAAAGGGTTGAAGGGACAATGGTGAAAGAATCTACTGGGCCCCAAATCTATAAAAATATCCAGGCACCTGAAACCCTTAACAATGACATCACCCCACAATCAAGCACTATAGGATGCTCTGGATTTGAGCAAGGCCGGGAGAGGCGGCAGCCAACCCTGGGGTCCCGACCGTCTGCAGAGCGCAGGTCACCGTGAGGCCCCGCCCCACCGGCGGTCCCTAAGCAGCGGCCTGACGGGCGGCGTGGGCTGAACGTTTCCAGGGCTGGTGCTGACCACGCCCTGCTGGGTCTCACTCCCACCCACCCCAAACGTGGCTCGGGCATCACTGGGCGCGACCCACAGGGCTCTCCCAAGGAAGGGCGCGCCTGAGGCCGGCGCGCTCTGCACTCTGGGAGCCGCATCGGGCGCGCGCGAACGCGTGACCTACTTCTGCGCACACTACACTTCCCTGCGCGCTCCGCGGGGCCGGTAGGCGGCCCAACCACGCATGCCCGGCAGGGGGACCTGGCCGAGGGTCGGAGCGTAGGAAAAGTTTCCGACGCACTTGCGCACTGCGCGGCGGGCGCCCCCTCCCATCGCAAGACAGTTCGTCCAAATCTACCCACTGGGCCAGCTCGCAGTTCGTACCACCCACCGCGTCCGTACGAGGGGCAGAACTTTCCCGATCTCTCTCCAGTGCCTCCGAAGACTGCTGAATTAGGGACCTGCTTCCAATGAGTTTTTCTGGGAGAAAGGGGTGGGCTGGGATAGACAAGGCCTCGCCCTCCCACCCCCACCCCTGCCGCTGAATCTGAATTCCAAAGGTGGACAGCCGCTGTCTGGGGTTGCTGTAAGGACTGACTGTGGACTCCAAGAGAAAGGAGCCTTTTCCACTTAATGCCAGTAGGCTCGGCTCCAGCACCCCACAGTCAGGAAAGGAAAAGCAGGAACTGGACCCAGTTCTGTCGGCAATCAGAAGGCCCAACGTCAGGGGGGCTCAAACCTTACCCCACTTCTAATCCAAGTCTGAAAAAGGATTTCCAGGGAAATGGGGAAGGTTCTCAGCTGGGAAGGAAAAACTGCACATCGGAAACCTGAACACCTAATATTTAAAATTCTGTGTGAGTCTCCTCCCACTGCAAGGGCTACTCTATGACCAGACTTACCAGATCCCCTGCAAAGCTTCCCTACAGGGTGTTAAACCTCCCTAATCCGGCCTCCCACACAAGCTGCTTTTCTCAATGCTTAAGAGAGGGAAGGGGGCAGGCGACGAGAAAGCAAGAGGATGTTTTTCTACTGAGAAATAAATGAGGGACCTACTCCCAGGTGGGCTGGGTAGGAAGGTAAAAAACAATAGGTTGGACAATGAGAAGGCACCCAAGACCCTATCTGCTGGTCCTCAAGTTGAAGCCCCGTGTGTGGGGTTCGGTTGCTCCAAGGGGAGGAGAGGGTCAGTCGGCTGTGCCTTCCATTTGCTCCCTCCCTCCTCCCCAGATACCTGGTCAAGGGCACAATCCATTCTCTGGACTGGAAAAGGGAGTTTAGGAGTAGGGCCCTTCTTCCCAGGGACCCTATGTAGATCAAGTAGAATCCACTAGCTGGCATAGTCCTACTGGTACTTTTTTACGCGCAGTTTTCCCTTTAAGCCAAGAAGATAAAGATTTCAAGCTGAAATGAATTCTGGCTGAGTGGTTCAAGGACAGTTCCCTCTAATCGGTCTCATCCCCAAGAAAGGATGTTCAACCTTCATCCTTCAGGCTCCACAGAACCAGAAATAAACCATAAGCAACCCCATTCCATGCACACGGGAAAAGCAGAAAAAGGCCTGGATCTCCTTCCTTCCTCTCATTTATTTAACGGTGGCAGTGGGAGTTATGTTTCTTTGGGGAACAAGGAAAATCTAGCGAGTATCTGGGATATAAGAACTGGGGGAGGAGGAAGGGAAGAAATGCACTCCATCCAGGAGAGGCCACTCTTCCACCTGGGAGAGAAGGGGGCTCTTGGGTACCGCAGGATCAGAGACAGGGTAGAGGAGCAAGGGGAAAATGTGGGCGGTTCTAAAAGAAGATAGAAGGGGCGAGGAAAATGCTGGCCGGGCGGGGGAGGGGGTGACAGCGACGTGGAGTGTCCAGCAAAGCCAAGAGCCGGAGCAAGGGCGGGGTGGGGCAGGCCGTCCAGCCGGTGGGTGTCAGGGTGCCCTCACTCGGGTCTCCGCGGCGGCGGGATGGGCTGCCGGTCGCCAGGTGTCTTCTCCTGCCAGGGTAGTCCTGGGCCCGGGGCAGAGGTCGCTCTCCCTGCTTTCTCCGGCGCTGCGAGGCCGGGGGCCGATGTGTCTTTTTCGTCGATGAGGGCTGGGAGCAAGGAGGAGGTTACGGGCTATAACTCCTAATATAATTCTTTCAGCTTTTTTGGAGGTCGGACTCGGCGGCAGGGGACGGACGGACCGCGGGCAGGCCGGCCGGCGGCGACAACACTACGATGGCGGCCCAGAGGGTGGCTCCCGTCGCGGGGCGGAGGACGGACTGCTGTAGTCGGCGGACGACCTGGCCCTCCTGGCCCCGCGTCGCCCGAGCCACTAGCTTTTCTCCGCCCACGACCCGCACCCTCCCGCGCCCCGGCCAGAAGTGAGCAAAGTCAATGAAAAGTTTCACCCTTAGCAACCCTGCGCACGGATCCGACTTCCCCACCCCTGCGTGATGCGTCCCTCCGCCGGCGGGGCGGGGCTGGGCGTCCGGCCGGGACTACTTCCCTGCCGGCCCGCGGATTAACCCTTCCGGGTCCGTAGCCCGCTGGGCGTGGGACGCAGGCAAAGGCTGCGGGAGTCTCTTTTCTAAACCCTCTCGCGTCGCCACCTCCTCGGCCTGGCTGTCTGTCTTCCCTTCCCCATCACAACACTGCCGTGCCGTATTTTCTTGCAGCCTCAAGCCACTCTCTGAGCTCGTGCTTAGCGTGTAAGGAGCATCCCCAGGTAGTCGGGGAGCTCCGTGAGGGCAGGCACCGGGCTGAGACACGGTGGGCGCTCACTCCGGCTGCTGGACGGTGGCTGTCGGGGGTGGGGCGGGCACAGCTTGCCCCAGGAAGCTCTCCCCTAACCTCCGACCCTGCACCTACCGGGGCGCCGGCGGTACGCAAGTTTGTTTGTCCGAATTATTTCCCACCGAGGCGACCTTGGCGCGCCCCTCCAGCTCTAGGCGCCTGACCCCCCACGCTCGCCCAGTTGCGACCTCCTTGGGTGAGAGATCTAGGGGCACCTCTTGAGCTCTGGAAAGGTTTCGGACCTGAACTCGCATTGGCCTGAGTTTTCCGAGCGCGGCTCGCCTCGTCGTCGGACGCGAAAAGTCGAGAGGAGGGCGAGGGGGAATGGGGCCTGGGGCATGCTGTTCGGGATGAAGAGGCCGTTGGCCAACAGCTGAGTAACCTCTTGACACCAGGTTCCCCGTGCAGGGAGAGGGCCTGCTCCACGCAGACGCACAAGCGCCGCCCCCCAGCCGACGCTCCAGTTGGCTCCCTCCAGCCAGCGACCCCTACGAGGGCTAAGAGAGCCACGCTAATTCTAGGAATAGCCCCGCGGAGTGGTGTGGCGCCTGCCCACGATAGGCGCGACGGGCGCGCACACCCTACGGTCCCTCAGGCGGCGGAGCAAGACTTTCCGAACCCGGGATGGGGGGCGTCCGGGCCCTCTGCCGGGATCTCGGCGGCGCAGACCACTCTGCCTCTTTGTGACAGTGTGGGGCAGAGTAGGGGTAGGGAGGTCTGAGCCCGGTGAGGTCAGGCGAACAGGACTGTCGGACGGCGAGGTCCGGAGCCCTGGGTGGGGATGTTTGCGCAGGAGTCTACTCCCTCCTCTGCCCACTCCCCGATACTCCCCCCCCCCGCCTTTATTCTTATTCCTGACCGTTCTGGACCAACGGCAGCCTCCGAACCCACGTGGGGTGGTGAGATGGGAAAGTTTCCAGTTACGGTTTGCATTTTATTTTCCTTGATCACTTTTTTGGCAAGGACAGAACGCCAGCGTGGGGGTTTAAATGTATTCTCCTTGACAGCGGTAGAGAAACGTCGGGCTGGAGGGCAAACTCCACTGAGACGGAGGCGGGAGGGAGCCAGAGGGCGACAGCCACCATCCCCCACATTCAGAGCGCTCCACCCCGGGACACCTCCAGGGACTACTTGCCTCGTGCGTCAGCGAGTGGCAGCGCGTCATACACATGCCCCTCTGCCTTTCCTTGCTTCACCCGCCCCTTCTTTCTCCTCCCCTCCCCAGTTCGCGCGTTCCACATCGGCAGCGAGATTCAGCCCACCACTGGTACCCAAGCACCGAAAGCTAAAAATATAGCAGGCATGTTAGCAACAGCCTTTTCATTGGCTGGCGGGTGGGCAGAGGAAGCTTCGGGTTGGGTTTTGGATATAACCGCTAAGACTGCGCCCTAGGGAGGGTGTCTTTTGAGCAGTGGTGCACGGCAAAGCTTGCTGGTATTTGTAGTTAGTAATTACTGCCTTGGAAATAGATGGGTTTACGACCCATTTCTGCTACCATGAGATCTGGATTTAATGCAACAAGTTTTACTTCATCAAACCTTAAGTTTCCTCGGGTATAAAAGTGGAGATCATGTGGAGTATTATCCTGTATGTAAAGCCTGGATCAAATAGTTTTTTTCCCCCTTCTTTCCTATACAAGGGATCGAACCCAGGGGCACATTCCTTTTTTTTTTTTTTTTTGAGCGGCATGAGGCGGGGAGGGTCTCGTTAAATTGTTGAGACTGGCTTGAACTTGTGATCCTCCAGAACCGCTGGGATTGCAGGCCTTCGCCACTGCACCCCACTCGAATAGTTTAACTTCAAACATTTTGACCAACTTGCATCCTTCCTGCCCTGCACTTACTTGGTGTGCATGCCCCAGGGGAAAACTTTTCAGGGCCTAAGGATGAAAAAGGTGAGGGTGAGTTGGAAAGAGTTGCCCCAGGGTATCTTAAGAAGGAGAACGGAGTCCTTAAAAACAAGAGATGCTGTGGCACACGCCTGTATCCCAGCAGCTCCGGAAGCTGAGGCAGGAGGATCCAGAATTCAAAGTCTGCCTCAGCAAAAGCGAAGTGCTGAGCAACTCAGTGAGACCCTGTCTCTAAAAAAAAAACAAAATAGGGCTGGGGATGTGGCTCAGTGGTCCAGTACCCCTGAGTTCAATCCCCAGTACCCAAAATAAATAAATAAACAGGAGACCTCATGCTGATGGAGGGCCGACTAAGAGGGAAGGCTTTACAGTTTCTGCGTGTTAGAGCTTTTATATGAACCTGTCCTACTGTACTGGAATGCCAGCACTAAGCAACATCACTAAGACAAAACAGAGAAGAACTGGAATTCTGGGTAAAGTGTTAGCATATAAAGGAAAAGATAAAATAGAGAAAAAAGTTAATCACCCTTGTTAAGTGCTGATGTCTCCATCTAGCATGTGGTGAGATGGAAGTTTTTCTCTTCCCATCATGTGACTTCACCTTGCTTACTTGTGAGCTGAATTCCTCAAGCATTCCAGATTCTCCTCCCATTTTGAATAATTATATATCTAAAGGTACACACCATGCTTTCAAAAATGGTGAATTTTAGAAGCAAGTGTGTAGAGGGTGGGGGTAACTCTCCTGAGAATAAAGCAAGTTATGCCAGATGTTTTGGTGTCAGTGACAAGTCAGGTTGGTCATAATTGGTCCCAATTAACTCTCAGGATGATTCACTCTCTCATCCACACATGCCAGGATGTGAAATTTTGCATTGTTTCTTTGAAGTTGTCCAAGAAACTCCATGTCTCAGTTTGATTCTTTGGATCCACTGCTGTAGCTGGGCAGGAGCACACAGCCACAACAGAAACTGACTTTGGGAAGAGTGATTGGCTGATGAGGAAAATGGTTTGTCAGTTATCCACCAAGACTGTGAATTCTAGTAAACAAGGTGAGGGAACAAATTTGCCTTTGCTAAGACACTAAAATTCAGTGTTCAAATAAAGTAATATTTTAGCCTTGGTGGAAGCTACGTGGGGATAGAGTTGATAAGGAACTGAACATCTAAGAAAAGATGGAAATAATTTCAGTTTTTAAGGCAGGAAATTTCCAACCAAGGCAAAGAGTCTTTCACTTTCAGTCTTAGCTTCAAACTATAGGTATAGGTTGGGCCAGGTGCAGTGGTATGCAGCTGGAATCCCAGAAGCTTGGGAGGCTGAGGCAGGATGATCTGCTTCAAATTCAAAGCTTCCCCAATAATTTAGCTAAGGCTCTAAGCATTTATGGAAAATCTGTCTCAAAATAAAAAAGAGCGGGTGATATGGCTCAGTGTTAAGTGCCCCTGGTTCAATCCTGTGGCTCAGAGGTTAAGTGCCTCTGTGTTCAATCCCTGGTATATAAAAAAATAAAAAAGAAGGAAAAAATACAAAGATACATATCTGGGCCATGTATAGAGGCACATGCTTGTAATCCTAGAGATTCTGGAGGTTGAGGCAGAATGATCCCAAGTTTGAGGCCAACCTGAGCAATTTAGGAAGAACCTCTCTCAAAAGGATTGGGAATATGACTGAGTAGTTATATACCCCTGGGTTTAATCCCCAGCTAAGTTTAGTCCCTGGGAAGTTAATTTCAGTAATTTAGAGGCTGCTAATTGGCAAACCAAGATACAGATATGGTGGACGGATTTCTTTGGCATATATTGATATCTGAGGGTTTAAAAGTGAGTTGCCGGGCTGGGGTTGTAGCTCAGTGGTACAGCTTGTCTTGAACTGGGTTTGATCCTCAGTACCATATAAAAATAAATAAAATAAAGATATTGTGTCTATCTACAACTAAGAAAAATTTTTAAAAAGTGAGTTGCCAAAATTTAAAAATTGGGATATTGCACAAAAATACCTTGGTTGCCTCTTGTCCTAAATTCAAATTGTCTGCCAATACTAGGCATTCAAGCTGGCAGCAATTATCTGCTGCTGAATAGCAGTTGTCTCCTTTAGTCTTGGTCAACTAACTCTCTGGCTCCCTAAGGTCCTCACCACTCCCTATTGTCTTCCAGAAGCTGAGGCTGAGAGTAATATACCATTTAAAAACACAATTGGAGCTGGGTGTGGTGGTGTGCACCTGTAATCCCAGAGACTCAGGGGGTTAAGGAAGAAGGATGACAAGTTCAAAGCCAGCCACAGCAATTTATCGAGGCCCTAAGCAACATAGTGAGACACTGTCTCAAAAAATAAAAAACAAAAAGGGCTGCAGATGTGGCTCAGTGGTTAAGAATCACTGGGTTCAATCCCTGGTACCAGAAAATAAACAAAAACAAAAAATCACAGTTGGATTATTTTCTTTCTTTTTTTGGAGTACTGGGGGTCAAACCTGTTCTACCTCACCCTTTTTAAAATTTTGAGACAAGGTCTTACTAAATTGCTGAGTCTCACATAGAATTTGTGGATTTGCAGTCCTCCAGTTAGGGGGGTGGCACACTCCTATAATCCCAGCCTGTAACCGGAGCCACTCAGGAGACTGAAACAGAAGGATCACAAGTTCAAGGCCAGCCCTAAGGAACCTAGTGAGACCCTGTTTCAAAAATAAAAAAGGCTGAGCACCTCTGGGTTCAATCCCTGGTACCAAAAACAAACAAATAAACAAACAAAAAAACCAGAAACGTGATTCCCCTGCCTCAGCCTCTCAAGTTGTTAAAATTAGAATTACTGGCATGTTTCACTGCTCTTGGTTTTAGGCTATTTTTCCAACATCCTGGTGGTGCACACCTGTAATTCCAGTGACTCAAGAAGCTGAAGCATGGGGTTTAAAATTAGAGGCCAGCCTTTGAAATTTAGGAAGACCCTGTCTCAAAATTTAAAAATATAAAGGCCTGGAAGATGTGGCTTAGAGGTAAAGAGACCCTGGTTTCAATCTCCAGTACAAAATTAAAAAAACAAAAACAAGACTTTTGATTTATTATTACATACTAAAAACTATAGTTACTATAGAATCAATTACAAATTTTAATTATAATCTAAAGATGATCTGATCTTTGCCGCCCTTTTCACATACCATAAGTCTGATACTTTGTTTTTTTGGTACTAGGGATTGAATCCAGGGATGCTTAACCCCTGAGCTACATCCCCAGCCATTTTTTTGAGATAGTCTTGCTAAACTGCTGAGGCTGGCCTTGAACTTCCAGTTCTCTTGCCTTAGCCCCCAGAGGCACTGGGATTACAGGTGGGTGTCACTGCACCTGATATTTTAGGTGCAGGAACTGCATGGAGTTCCTGGAATACATAATCCTATTCAAGACTGCCTTTCCTGAAATTATTTTCCCCACACAAGTGCCCTCATTTGCCCACGCACTACCTTTGCTTGCAAGTTCCCATACTTCAAAGCTCAGTTAATTTTCTTGCCTCCAAAACTTCAGTTATTCATTCAACACTGTACACCCACC